AAAGTATCAAATTCAATCTTTGTTCAATAAAAATCTTTCAAATGCGACTGTCGCTTTTTTTCCCCCACACTTTTTCTTCAAAATAAGGGTGCGTCTTATATTCCAAAAAATACGGTAATAAATAATACGTTACTTTAAGTTTCGATGTAGATCTTTTTAAATTAGGTGACATTAACGTTTTCTAAGAGTAAAAAAAAAAAAATAGAGAGGGAGAGAAATAAAGTGAACATTAACCTCACTCTCGGAAGTGCCTTCCCACCTTCAGTGGCTGAACAGTAAGCCTGTAAGCTAATAAAAATAGGGGTTTTGATCCTCGAAGTGAACAAGGCAGAGATAATTCGTTGTATAGCTTTGTCATTTTAGACTCGGGTGAAGGCCCTCTTAATTTGGATAACAATCATATGTATATATATATATATATATATAACATTCAAATATACATAACGTAAACATCTCTATTTTTAAAATCGCGCAAAGAACATTATACACGGATAATTTCTTTTTATTTTCAAAGTCAGAAAGGTACATCTGATTTAAATGGGCTCATTTGTATTGCTAAGTCAATTCACAAGTGGAAATTTACTCATGTGACCTCGAACAGCTGAACATACTGATATCGTACTCTTGCAACCTTTCTCTGGCTATAAAAGAAGTATCCAAGGAAAGCCACGAACATTTTATCATACTTTTGACATCAATCTTGTAAAAGATGAAAGTTCTAATTAGCCTCTTTGTAGTTCTCGGCTTTACCCTAGCTGTGGTGGTTGCCCAGAAAAAACTTCCTTTCTGTGGTAAGTTTATTTTAAAAATATATATTCTAAACATTTTAATAACATCAAATATCATTCCATACACCAATATCTTATAGTATTGTATGATATTTTAATGTGGCGGCTCTCCATTAATTTGCATTCGGGCTACTAAATGGTACTTGCTAAAATGTGTCCAAGTGTACAATTGGTAAAAAAATTTTACTGATAGGAATTTTTCCTCCTGTAATGTCTCTATCTACTTTTTCCATATCTTCTGTGAGATATTTTGATCTTCTTTTAAGTATTAGAACTCATGCTGGATAATATATTTTTTTTCTTTCACAAAATAAAAATAAGGTTATACATGTTAAAATAAATTTGAAATTACGTTATGCTTTTCGAAATCAATATATTCGATCGAAGAAGCCCCCCAGTGGCACAGCGGTATGTCTGCGGACTTACAACACTAGAAACCGGGTTTCGATACCCGTGGTGGACAGAGCACAGATAGCCCTTGTGTAGCTTTGTGCATAATTAAAAACAAACAAACAATCGATCAAAGATATTGACCTAAATATCTGACATCGATCATATCTATCCGGACTGGATAAGAAAAGTTGGCAAAGGCAGAACATATTGAATAGGATATTTTAATAGAGTTGTTTAACAACAAGTAAGAGCTTGGAATGGTCTATTCTTTCATTGGGGATGTCCCTGTGAGCCAGACTAGTTTCGGAGAATTCCACTCCTCATCAGTGACCCTACAAGTTCTTCAAATACCTATAGAACGATAGATTTCTTTTTTTTTTTGTGAGTGTTAAACACTTAAATAAACCGTTTCGATGAATAGGATATTGTTATTTGTTATGGTTTACATCAAGCCAAGCACTTAAGGTAAAGAGAATAATAACTGCTAAAAATTACTATATGAATAGAAGACAATGATAGAATAACGACGGAAGTAATAGAATTAATATCATGTTACTTACATTGGTTACTTGCGATAGCAAGTTACTTGGCACAGCAGTATGTCTGCAGACTTACAACGCTAGAAACAGAATTTCGATACCAGTGATTGGCAAAGCACAGATAGCCCATTTTGTAGCTTTGTGCTTAATTACAAACAGACGAACATACAAATTTGCCCTAGAAAATAAAAATAATTATAATAAAATGTAGCACAAAATAATTCATAACAATAAGGTATAAAACGAAAGCGTTTGTTGGCGGCCAATTGCTTCCTGTGGTCACTGGTTCAGAATTGTGGACGGCGCAACGCTACCTGTATGAACATGTTTTAGAGGGAGGGAATTTGCTTTTGTAGGTACTAAACATCTCTAGCGTAAGAGTATATATATATATATTAGAATGCAAAAAGTATTTTTTTTATTTATATAATTTATTAATTACTAAGACTGGAGTGGATGATTTACAACAATACACGGAGTTAAATACGAATAAGTGTTTGTTTGGAATTTAGCGCAAAACTACTCAAGAGCTATCTGCGCTAGCCGTCCCTAGTTCTGAAGTGATAATTTCGAGGGAAAGCTCCACCCACCGCCAAACTCTTGATCAACAGCTGAAAGGGCGAGCATGTTCAACAATGGAATTCGAACCCACGACCCTCAGACTGTGAGTCAAGTGCGTTCAACGATGGAATTCCATAATTAGAGGGAGGAGGGCCTGTATTATGGCCGGTGTTAAACTCCTCCAGCGTGTACATCAAATCAATCAATCAAATCGAACACATTATGAATACAATATTTAACATTTTTTGTACTAGAGAAACTGACTGTTAATACCAGTTCAGTCTATTTGGTTACTTATGGAGGACTATAGGTGTATAGTTTATTATGAATTTCGCGCAAAGCTACACAAGAGCTATCTGCGCTAGCCTCCCAAATTTAACAGTGGAAGACTAGACGGAAGGCAGCTAGTCATCACCATTACAGCCAACTCTTGGGCTATTCTTTTACCAACGAATAGTGGGATTGACCGTCACATTATAACGCCACCACGGCTGAAAGGGCGATCCACAGAGTGCGAGTCGAGCTCCCTAACCACCTGGCCATGCCGGGCCTGTTTCAATAAGAATATGTATCCTACAAAATGAATTGTAGTTGTTTTATTGTCGTTGTTCATCTGTCTCAATGCAAAACGTATGCCCCCCAGTGGCACAGCAGTATGTCTGCGGACTTACAACGCTAGAATCCGAGTTTCGATACCCGTGGTGGGCAGAGCACAGATAGCCCATTGTGTAGCTTTGTGCTTAATTACAAACAAACAAACAAACAAAACGTATAGTGAGTATTGCATAGATAAGGAAGCATCTCGTTGTTATGTTTTAGTGTTCAGTTTTAATTTGTTTTCGTTTAATACATAGTCGGTATTTTAATTTGAAATTCTTTGATGGTAGTTCGTGAAACTTGTTTAGCATATTTTCTCGTAAGTTTCGAAGAAGAATTTTATGAGATGTAGCATGCAGTTTTTCATTTTAATCTATATTGTTACGTCTCCGTTTGTTAATTAACTTTCCGTAACTTTGTTCCAACGAAACTTTAA